CGGGGAAGCGGCGGTGGGGGGGAAGAAACGGCGACCGGGCACTGCTGTAGAAGCGAGTAGGGCGGCCGAGGCAGCACTTGTGGCGAACTATGTACGCGGCTGATGTTGTTGCGCCCTGTTTCCCTCCCTGCTGTATGCTATACTCCTTTGTGTATGTCCTTTGTATTGCCTTCGGCCTCTGTGCTGTGTTTCTTTTTTTCATGTCCTCCCTACCTGCTCTGCTGTGTTGGGTACCTCGCTTTTGCTGTTGCTTTTGTTTTTTGTACATCTCGCTGTCTGCTCATCTGCCGCCTCTTTGTCCTGTTTGCTCCGTTACTTCCATGCCCTGGTGCGTAGTGCCTGGTGCTGGTACGTTACCCTTTGATTTTTTCCTTAGGCGGGTGTGGGAAGCGTCCTGCTTTTTTTTTGTTTTGCTTTAGTTTTGATCGGTTTCCGAGGGCCCTTTCCTCGAACGGTCGGTGCGGTACCTGTTATTTTCTTTCTATCATTTTGTTTTCTATTTCCGAGTGGTTTGTACCCTATTTTTGTTTTGTTTCCCCGCGGCGTCGTATGTGCCGGGTTTTGAGACCAAGGGCTCCCCATTTTTTGTGTGGACAATCGAGTTAATGTGAGAAACAACAACAGCAACAACATGAAAAACATGAACACATTCTCGAGTACAAAATTCAATATTCAATTGGGGAAGCAGCCGTGGTACGACGATCTATAGACAACAACGCCAGATTCAGAAATAGGATATCTGGGCGGTAAGTGGGTGCCGCAACTGCTGGACTCAAAACGCACGAATGTGCGCAACCGAGACCATTCACTGTGAGATCTGCAGCAGCAGCAGCAGCTGCTGCTGTTGCTGCTGCTGCGAATACCTTTCGCTGGACGGAGGGGATGCCACGAAGTGCGTTGGAAGAGGAAGGAAAGACGCTCCACGCCTACCAGATGACCGCTCCATTCATGCCACTCGACTCGAGCTGGACAAAGAGTCGATGCTGCTGTTTACCTGGCGAAGAGTACGCCCAACTGCTGCAGCTGCTGCGTGCTGTTCACTCGAGGTTCCCTATTCTATGCGTTCCGGAATAGGTGCTACTGCTGGAACGGAGCAACGGAGCAAGGCGAACACTTTTCGTGCGGTTGATGGATGCCACGACTTTTCCAGACTACTTGTAATTGTAAAGAAGAAGTAGTTGCGAAAATACAGCTCCGTTCTGACACCGACGAATACCAAATTAAGGAGAGAAGGTGTAGCCTGACTGACCTGTGGTAGGCCCCGACCGACCTTTTTAGGAATCAGCGGGTCTTACCTCTGGTGCTCTGGCAAGCGCCTCTCCTCTGGGTGCTCTAGATCACCACGCAATGCCGTCAACTCGCAACGTGGGAACGAACGCGCGCGTACGACCCGTGACCATAAATACTTTCATTCCTCTTGACGCGACTCCTCCTGGTAGCTACGCACAGTGTCGGCGGGGTCCTTTCGGGGGGGGGGGC